TGCAGAGTGAGGCTTGGCAGGGCTTCAGAGCTGGGGGTGTGGAGTGAGGGGGAAAGGGCACCTTTCTGTGGAGTGAGGGGGAAAGGGCACCTCAGAGCCCAGAGGTTGGGGGGCCTCAGAGCAGGAGGTGCCCTTGGCTCTGTCTTCTCTTGTCTCTGCAGATGCCCAAATGGTGGCCCGGCTTCAGGAGCAGATCCAGGCATGGCTGCATCTCCACTCGGGGCTGCACATCTCCTTCTGTGCTGAACGTGCCTGCCAACACCTGCAGAGTTTTGAGGGGGCCAGCCCATGCCCCGCAGGGGTGCCCAGCCCTAACCCCACTGTGATGTGGGGGTCACACTGACCCCTGGGACTCTACCTGCACTATGGTAGGAGCACCTTTCCCTCCAGGATGCTGCACTAGCACTTATATCTTAGTTGGGGGTGAAAGAGGAGGGCGTGCCCAACCCCACTTGGCCAGGACTGTGCTGGGGATCCCCCCTTACATGCTTGTTGATTTTTGTTCCCAGTGCATTCTGGGAGTCCTGCCAAGCTCTGTGTATGGTATTGCTCTGCAGTTGCCTGGGGATTTGCTTGCTGCCTCTGGAGCTTTGTCAACCCCAGCCCTCCCTCTGAGCATCCTACAGCCCCTCATGTAAGTGCTGGGGTCCACAGTGATGAGGGGAAACTTGAGAGCTCTTGGGGGCCATGAGGAGAAGGATGAGGTGAGAGAACATACACAGCAGGAGATGCTAGGAGTACCACCTTCTTTTGCTTACCAAGGGGAAGGTACCCAGCCCCCACCCTGCCTCACCAGGCCTTGCTCATTTCCTGGAGTTGGGTTAGAGCCTAGGAGTCCTGGCTCCAAGCCTGCCTGGCTCAAGGAACAGGAATTCAGTCCTTCCTGGAGGGTCCCTGCTCTGACAAATTAGTAGCTATGAGTTTGAAGGGCTGTGGCTGTAGCCAAATGGGTCCAGTCACCAGTCTTCTGCTGGGGGTTGCTGGTTGGCCATTTTCTGCTGGGGGCCGTCAGGGCACAATCCTGCCCAGCAGTGCTATGCTCAGACCTGCTGGCCTGCCTGTTCCCTGGGCTGGGCCAGTGCTCTGCCTAGCTACTTTGCCCAGTCTCATGCTAAGGAGAGCCCCATGGCGACCTTCACCCCTTGGTCTGAAAGCACTTTACAAAGGGAGGACAGCAGATTTTATAGATGTGGAAATGGGCCCAGATGGAGCTGCAGCCAGTCTACAGCAGTTGAGCTTCTGGTCCCACTCCCCTCCCTGAAGTGGGCAAGAGCCCAGGACTCCTAGCTCCCTGGTCTGACCCTTAGCCCATGCTTTGCCCCAGAGCTCAGGTCCCTGCCCAGGCTGGTTATGGTTTGCTGTTGCAGTGCAAGGAGCTTCTTTCTGGCATGAATGTTTTAGGGGGTGGGGTGAATTTCTACTGTATTTTCAGCGCAATAAAGATGTTTCTGTCTTTGATCCCTGTTCCCTGCTATTGCCTTGCCCACAAAATGAGCTCTTATGGTAGATCGGGTGTCCCACACCCAGTGGTGCCACAAAGAGCGAGTGTGATGCATCCAAGGGCACATATACAACAGCCAGAAAGCCAACCACCCTCTCATTGGGCCCCACCTTACCCACAAGCCTGGTGTGGGAAAGTCACACATGGGCAGCTGTTTCCCAACCATGAATCTCATGCCTAGACCTACCCACAAGCCCCTTGGGCCTGTAATGAGCACCATCAAACCTATGGCATCACCAGATCAGCTCTTTTATTATTCAAATGTATAAAATATAATGTTCAGGTGGGGGAAGTGGGGATGGGGCCAGAGCATGCTGGGACGTAACATTGATGAGGACCTGGAAGGAGCCGCCTGTTACCCCCAACCACACGGAAGCCCAGCTGCAGGGGAAGAAAAGGCGTTGTCCTCCCATGAGCCCTCTCCCATGTGGGATAAGAAGGTGCTACAGCTAGGAGTCCTCGTGGACAAAAATCAAAAGACATAAGGGGGCATGGCCTGGCATAGGTCCCCACAGTTTGCAAATCACAAGCAAAAGGAAAGGGGTAAAGCTTGGCTAAGCCCCTCCCCTTCCCTTTCCAGGCTAGGCCACAGGCTGTGGTCATATGTGAAACACCTTATTTGACAGGCCAAGTTGTATGGGGTGGGGCTTGATTAAGTCCCTCTCTCCTTGATTAGATGGTTACATTGCTTTCTGGGTAGAGTATCAGCAGGCTCCTCCCTGTCATGTGGCAGGTCTCTGGTGCCACTTCCTTCTTATGTCATGTGGCAAGGTAGGGCCAGGCACCCAAATAGTGAAGGCTGGTGACAGCCATGGACCTTGGTGAAGGGGCAGCATCCTGGCATGGGGGTTAGCCCAATCCACCCACAAGGACTCCCCTGACACAGGCAGGGCAGTGGGAATGCCCTGACACTGTGGTATGGTGGTGCCACAATGTCCCAGGGGTGGGGCAGGGCTGGTGGGGGGAATGAGCCCAGCTTGGCAGTGTCCTGTTGGTGAGCAAGGAGAGGGACTGCCCCATTTCAAGGACTTCCTTCAGCCTCCCAGCATCCCATGCAAGGGGCGTGGGTCACTCCCGCTTCCGGAGGTGGATGTACATGATGCTGCTGATGAGAGACAGGGGGAAGGTGAGCCAAGCCAGCACGAAGCAGTACCCAAATCGCCCACCTGGTGCCCGTTTCTGGTGGAACTCGCTGACGTGGACAGTATAGATCATGGCAGCCGTGAACACGGAGAGACCTATGTCAGTTGGGGGGGGGGGTAGAGGGAACGGGATGAGAGCAGCCCAAATCCACAGAGAACCCAGAAGTTCTGGCTCCTAGACACCCCCCACCACTTCTAAGCAGTAAACCCCACCCCCCTTCAGGGCTGGGGTAGAACCCAGGCATCCTGGCTCCCAGCCCTCTCCTCCCTGCTGTAGCCCAGCAGGCCCCCACCAACTTCCCCTAGTGCAGCTGGGCACTCACAGGCGAAGATCTGGAAGATGCCAGTGGCGTAAAAGAGCCCTCCCCGCTCCATGGTGTAGAGCTGGCACATGAAGAGGATGAAGGAGAAGCTAGAGAAGAGCAGGGCCAGGACCATGAGGGCCTGGACAGCCACAAGCCATTCTACAGTCACCAGGAAGAGAAAGATATGATGTGAGGGACAGTGTGCAGGTGAGATCCATTACCTCTTGGGTGGGATGCATTGGGGGCTGGTAATGTAGGGATTCCTTGCCCTGCACTGAGATGCAGCCACCCTAGAGGCGGGGGGTGATAGAGATGGAAGATGGGGGCAGTAGTATTTAAAGGGAGTGACCAAGGCCTCTGGGTGTTGAGTCCCATGGTCCATCCATCCGTCTGTCCTTCTCTCCCTCATCACAAAATAGCACAACCTGTCTCTGACTATAAAGGGACCCCCACATTGCCCCCACACCCACCCTACCCTTCCTGCCTGCTGTCCCAGCCCCCTGCCTGACCCCTCCACTGCCACCCAACAAGCCCAGCAGAATGAGATGTACAAGTTCGTAGCCCCTTCTTCTGCCCCACTCCCAGGAACTGTCAGCCAGGATCAGCCCACATAGATGCCACCTCTCCATCAGAACTAGCTCATACCACCCCCCAGGCAACTCCCACCCTGGTGGGAGCAGTCCCAAACTCACCGCTGTTAGACACAGAGGAGCAGACCCAGGTCTGGGTGGTGTTGTTATACAGACAGTCATACCAGAGGTTGACGCTCTCCTCGTCAGGTAGCACCCACCATGACTGTGGGCACAGTGCAAGCATTAGTGGGGTCCCTGGAGGCCTGGATGACCCCCTCCCTCCCTGCATGCTTGGGCCCAAACCCCAGCTCTGGGACAAGGATGGAGTCTACACTGGGGCACGGAGGGCAGGGAGCCAGGACTCCTGGGTTCCACCCTCAGTGTACAGTGATCCACATCACAGCACACTCTCTGCAAGCCTGGATCCCCCCACCCTATCCCTCTGCCCCAGGTAGGGGGGATGTGCCTCACCTTGTCCAGGGTGGCAACAAAGAGCAGCACAAGGATGAGGATGTGCAGAGCTGTGACCCCAAAGAGGAGGAAGCTCATGATGATGCCTGATGGGGGGGGCAAGGGGGGTAGGGCAGTCAGCATGTGGCAGGGCCAGCCCCAATACCCCCATGACCCCTGCTCCTTTATCCTGTCCCTTAGGCAGGGGTTCAGCATGGCCCCTCCTCCCCCCTTAAGCAGGGCACCAGCTCTGCTTCCCAGATGCCCCCAGCTCCCTCTCCTGCACCTGGTTCCCTGTTCCCCCCAGCCCCAGACTGTGAGCCCCCCTCCAGGTCCACACAATCCAGCCCTGACCCAAGGAGTGAACCAGGCTGCTGTGACGTGGAGAAGGGAGGGACACTCCCAGCTCCTCACCCACCCTTCCCCACTGTCCTGCTGTGCTAATGAGTTCCAGATGTGACTGTCATGTGAGCACAGCCCGTGGGCCTGGTGGTAGTGGAGGCCTCCCATCTCTACCCTTGCTGCCTTGCCGCCCCTCCACACAGAGGCCAGGATCATTGCTACTGCCCGACCTAATCTCCCCCCATTTCCTACTCCACAGCATGACTAAAGCAGGATTAGTTGATCTGAATGCGCAGTTTCCTGCACTGCATAGGGATGGGGAAAGGAAAGGGACAGGTGGAGAAACTGAGGCACAGGCAGCACTAGGAACTGAACAGGCCCAAGAGGCAGCAGGGAAAAGACTAGGATAAGACCCAGGTATCCTGACTGCCCACCTCTTCTCCTAGACCTGGGATAGAACTCAGGAGTCATGGTCCCAGCCCCAACTTGCACTCCAGTCCACCAGACTTCACTCTTCTAGACCAGGGAAATCAAACCCATGAGTCTTGGCTCCCATCTCCCCTCTAACCTACCAGGCTTCACTCCTCTCCCAAACCTGGTATGGAATCCAGGTGTCCTGACTTTCAGCACGCTGTGCTCTGAGAAAAACTGTCTTGGGGGCAGAAGATAGGGCTGGATGGACCTGTGGGGCTGCCCTGGGGTGGGGTGCTGGGTGGATGGGCCCATCTATTTCACAGTAAATAGGCCCTGACCATGGGTGGATGGCATTTCTAATCAGCAGGGATTTGGGGGCACATGGGGAAGATCCTCACTTAATACAGAGCAGGGCAGGGGAAAAGAGGCCAGAGCCAGAGATGTAGCTGCCTCTGGGTCAGGGTTTTTTTGGGGGCTGTGTTTATATGGAACCTTTTCCCCCAATGCTGAGATGCAGCCACTTCTGGAGTGCAGCACTGCACTTTATAAAGGGCAAGAGAAGAATTTCAGAACAGAAACTGGACCCAATCCTGCCTCCAGCTGAATCTGCAAGGACTGAAGGACTCCAAGGGGTGTTGGCTTGGATTAGACCAGGACACCAAGGTTCTTTCCCCAGTCTCTGCAGAAATAACAGGGGATCTTCGGAGATCAGAGAGGTGGGATATTGTCCAATAGGATAAGGGATCCAGGACACAGTAATCCCTACCACTGCCCAGGGACCAGTACTTGAGATGGGAGGTACCCCCTGTTGGATCTCTCCCCTCAGCAGGATGCCCCCACAACCCCCCTACTATGCTGCCTGCAACCTGGCATCCCTAGCATCCTCTACACACTCCCCAAAGCACAGTGCCCCCCTTTTCAACAGCTTGGCACCTCCAAGCATCCCCTGCCCTTTTCTCTATCCCACAGTGCCTCCTCCCAGCTCCCCCAGCAAAGCAGCCTGTGCCCTCCCAGGCACCAGGCCTGAGCCCAGGTCTTTGCCCAGCCCTGTACAGTGAGGAAGCTGCTTGGCGCCTGGCCCTCAGCAATTTGGCCACAAGACTTTTCCTGTTCCAAACCAAGGCTTCTTTGAAAGGGAAAACAACCAGCCATTGATTCCACAGAGCCGGGCAGGCAGGCTCCAGGATGGGGCAAAAACTGACTCCCTCCAGGGGGGCTCCAGCCCCATCCACCCAAGGGGGGGTGTGGGGGTGGGCACTGGCTAGCTGAGGGGGTGGGGATGGGACAGGGACCTTTCCCTTCTAGGGGGTGCCCATCTCTGCCTCCTTGGTCTCTGGCCACGTGTATGGTGTCCACATTTCCAGTTGTGTTGCCCAAAGGCTGTAATTGCAGCAGGGAGGGCAGGGTTTGGACAGGGCAGGGATAAGCTGCAGCTGGCTCTCCGAGCTGGGGTGAGAGCAGTGTCTCTGCTGGGGTGGTGTGCTATGCTCTGTGCTGTGGGGTTGGGTCTCTGCACTGGGAGGTGGGGGGTGCTCTCTTTGTGCTGGCACCAGCTGTGGCTTTATGGAGGTACAGATGCCTCCCAGACGGTGTGTGGGGGTGGAGGTGATAGCAGCCACCTAGCAGTGGTTTAGGGGGTGTGTGGGGGAGGAGGGGATTTTTCTCTCCCCTTTCCCAAAAGCAGCAGCATAGGGAAACACCCAGCACCCTGCGAGCCCCCTTAGCACCTCCCCCTGTGCAAGTAGAGCCAAACTTTGAGACTTTGCAAAAGCAC